AAGAGTGTTAAATTTGTTTGCATATACGACAGGTTTTGCGTCACCAAATTTGTTCCCTTCTAATGACATCGCTTCGAACTAGTTCAGAGGTTTTCCCATTACCTTTTGTTTCCTTGTTCAGTTTCATGTGAACTAGGATAAATTTTGAATAAGCACTAAAGAAAATATAAATGCATGTTCGTATAGCTACTTATTTGAGTTTTTGCTCAGCTTGAGGGAGAAACAGTTGAGCCCTATTTTCGCCGGTTGGTCTTGCGGTCGGTTGCTCATGTTATTCGACTGTATAGTTCATCTCTCATTACAGAATGCGAGGTACACTATGCAAAACTTCATTTGTTTCTAACAAACACGAAATATATTTCTCCAGTTGACTGAGGCATCTGTGATTGTGCATCCGCTCGAATTTTTTGTGTAGGTGTTCCTAAGTATGCTGGTGAAAGCTACGTTTTTAGATTTGCCACTGTGGCATCGAATTCTTGTTCTTGAGATTCTAAGGGTAATCATTACACTCCTTAGTTCTTACTTGCACGTATACGTGTGAGTGCATGCATGCTAGTGCCTAGTGGTTGATTTTGTTTTAGATGTTCTGTTATTTAAATCATATTTCTGAAATTTCTGACAATTATGGTGTATCGAAATTAATTTAGGGTTTCTGTGTTGAGGCAAGAACACTGCAGATTCTTTTCCAGAACTTTGATATGTAAGGTTATCTACTTCCATTTGGTCTCTAAAGATTTACTCAGTGTTGCAAGTTGAACAAACTAATCTCCTCCTACCATTTTCCTTTTTACATTTTTTTGGCTTCATTGACTTTTAGAATAACTCAACATGATGTTTCTTCCAGTTAATTGATCATAGTATGCAGCCAAAATATGCCTAAATCTTTGGAGTTTTATTGTGCTTCTAACGATTTTCTTCATGTTTAATGACTTTTGATGTATAATCTCTTTTATTAGTTTTAAAATTCCTTCTCTGGTCAGTTGCTGATTCTTTGCCTTTCTAGGCATCCCAAGAACACAAATGTTGTGGAGGGCATTGTCAAAGCTCTTGCTCGAGTTGTTTCCAGTGTACAGGTAGACCTGTAATTAAGCTCACTAGTAACTTCTGTTCTTGTTTTGATTTGACCACAGGTGACTTTGAATATACATTTGGTGTGTGTGTTTTTTGTCAGGAAAATGCTTCTAAAGAAACTCACGAATTATAAGATGGTTGAATATGAGTTGATAATGGCATCTATTGACGGAAAGAAAAGGAAAATGACTTTATTCATGAGTTGATTTCCTAGAAATTTAGTTTCAGGAGACCAGTGAGGAAAGTCTAGCAGCTGTTGCAGGGATGTTCAGTAGCAAAGCTAAAGGTAATCATTTCTTTCTTTCTTTTTTCTTTTTGCATTGACGATTACTGATAACATCTTGGGGCTACAGAATTTTATTGATTTCTATTTCATTCTTAGTAAGATGTCCTATGTTGTTATTCTTTTTCTCAATCTTGTAGGAATCGAATGGATCCTTGATAATGATGCTTCCAGTGCTGCTGTTTTGGTTGCTAGTGAAGCTCATGCCATAACTCTGGCAATTGAAGGTTTACTTGGAGTTGTTTTTACAGTGGCTACTTTGACAGATGAAGCAGTGGACCTTGGGGAGGTCAATGAAGCAATTTTTCTTCTGTTATATCATATCAGATCTGTAATATTAGATTCTCTTTCTGCTTTTCATCTGCTTTGATTCTTATTTTGTATTCCTTTTCTTCACACCACCAGCTTGAGTCTCCCAGATGTGAGCATCGTCCTTCAACTGAATATACTGGGAAAACGGCACTCCTTTGCATCTCAATGGTGGATTCGTTGTGGTTGACTATACTTGACTCACTGTCTCTTATCTTGTCGAGGTATCATGTACTGTTTTCCAAACTGTACATTGGTGAACATTGGTGATTATTGTGAAGGGCAACATTGGTGTAGCATTTTATATAATCTAACCCCTTTTGAAGGTCGCATGGAGAGGCGATTGTATTGGAGATACTGAAAGGATACCAAGCATTTACTCAGGTAAATGCAAACGGAATGAAACATATCTGTATGTGATGTTTCTGATTGGCAAATCACATTCCTCATTTTTACGTTGCCAAATGAATTTCTTGTTGTCTGCCGATTCTGTAGGAATGACAGGTTTACTTGTGAATGTTTCGCAGGCATGTGGTGTTCTGCATGCTGTCGAACCCTTGAATTCTTTCCTTGCTTCCCTTTGTAGATTTACCATCCTTTTGCCAAGTGACGTCGAAAGGAAAAGGTACCTTGAAAAGTCTGTAAATGTCATGTCACCATATATTGGGTTAACCATGCTCATTGGCTACATGATGTTTTGGGCTAAAAATTGAGATTTCAGCAGTCTCATGCTGTCTCCTGGGTCCAAGCGTTCAGAAGTACAGCTTGATCAGAAAGATAACATTGTCCTCACACCCAAGAATGTTCAGGTATCCAACTTGGGGTTGTTTACACAATAATAACCTCTTGGTACTTGTACATGTTGAAGTCTCCTTTCGCAGCTTCGCCTTTTGTAATGGATTTTACTGTACAGGTTGGCTAACCTAAAGTCTTCTTTTATGATAATTGTTTAGGCGCTGCGGACACTCTTTAACATCGCTCATAGGTTGCAAAATGTATTGGGGCCTTCATGGGTGTTGGTGAGTTTTCTGCTTTAGGGTTGTTTAATGTAAACTTCTTTGTGATAATGGGATATCCTAAATGAATACAGGTACTTGAGACTTTGTCAGCACTGGATCGAGCTATTCATTCTCCTCATGCCACCACGCAGGTAAATTTTGTGTTGATCCCAATGGAGGATTTTATCTTATTCATGTATAATATAGCTTGAAAAATCTTTAGTAGCTAGGTCTCACTTTTTTTTCTTCTGATGCATGAAAACTCTATAATGTTTCCAGAGCATTATAGTGCATAACATTGTCTGTTTTACACTTGTAGGAGGTCACAACTACAGGCCCAAAGCTTACAAGAGAACCTTCTCGGCAGTTCTCTGATTTTAGCATTCTCTCTTCTCTAAACTCTCAGGTAAGCCAAATCAGTTATCTTCTGTGGTCTTTGCCTTGAAGCTCTCTTGGAAAATGACAGGAATTTATCCGGTTTTGGAGAGATTTCTTGGACAAGAACTACTTTGGTGACCTTTGAGAAATTCCTTTGAGGTCAATTGGTCCTGACTTGTTTTTTCCTCTTGCCAAGCTGTTTGAGAGCTCCGCGCTGATGCATGTGTCTGCTATTAAATCACTTCTGTCTGCGCTTCATCAGTTGTCCCTTCAGTGCATGGCTGAAACTTCGGGCAGCTTTTCATCAGCTTCTAGTCAGAAAGTTGGGAGCATTAGATTTTCGGTGGATAGAATGATATCGATTCTTGTGAACAATTTACACCGTATGTTATGGATAAATCACTTCTTTCATGGAGTCGTTTTTTCAGACTTTGGAACTTGGAACTCTTGGTCCAATTTCTGGATGATTATATTGTGCGCTCCATTCTGAAATTTCTTTCATGACAGGGGTTGAACCGCTGTGGGAGGAAGTGGTTGGTCACTTTCTTGAGGTGATGGCAAATGATTATTGGTGTATGTTAGCATGATATATTAACCTTAGTTGGGCCTTTAATGACACTTCAAGTGCATGTTGCAGCTAGCTGAGCATTCAAATCAGAACTTAAGGGATATGGCACTTGATGCACTGGATCGATCCATATGTGCTGTCTTAGGTTCAGAGCAATTTGGAGCAGATCCAACCAAATCTAGGGATTCAACTCTGGATGTGAGATCTCTCTCCACTTTCCTTAAAGTTAAGAGTCTCACTTGATGGGCAGAGGAGGTCCTTGTCTTGATATTTTTTATAATCTCTCTTTTTCTTCTCCCTAGGTAGAATCAAAGCCAACAGAGTTGAGGTCAATTGAGTGTGCTGTACTCTCTTCTCTGAGAGTTCTGTACTTTTCTACCGAAAAGGCTGATGTTCGAATTGGGTCGTTGAAAATTCTTCTTCATGTTTTAGAGGTATGCATGACAGTGGAGATTTCAGAAGTTAGGCTTCATTTTACCTGTTTATAATTCTCTCGATTCTTCGGCATAAATTTTGTTTCTGCAGAGATGTGGGGAAAAACTGTACTATAGTTGGCCAGGTATTCTTGAAATGTTGAGGTCTGTATCTCAATCTCTTTCGTTGCTTTATTCTTCTTGTGGAACCTTATATTCACCATTGCTGTTTGCTGATTCTTATTCCTCTCCTATTCTTATTAAGGTCTGTTGCTGATGCATCAGAGAAGGATCTGGTTACCCTTGGATTCCAGGCTAGTAAACCCTAGATAAGTTAAGTTGTTAATTATGACTTCTAATACTAATCAGTCCTTTACTGATGTTTGTTCCTCCACAGAGCCTCCGGGTCATTATGAGTGATGGACTTCCTACTCTTCCTGGAGACTGTCTCCATGTGTAAGTTCCTACATATCAGAATTCTTGACAAAGTTCCTCACTCTTCTTGTTGTTTGTTAACTGTCAGTTATATTCAAAGCAGAGATTTTTCCTTGTTTCTTTCGGGTGGGGAGTTGATGATATGGATATTTCAGGTGCATAGATGTTACTGGCGCTTACTGCAATCAGAAGACTGAGTTGAATATAAGTTTGACAGCCATAGGCCTTCTGTGGACCATGAGTGATTTTGTAGCAAAGGGGCTCCGCCATGAGTCTGTAGTGGAGAAAGAATTGGGTAATATTATTGTCACCTAGTTAGTTGCCATTGTCATCTCTGAGAAACCGGGAGAATAATATTCCAGTTTGTTGTTTCCTACAGGACTCAAGAATGCAGAGTCCACTTCCAAACAACCAAATGGTGAGGAGGAGGAAGAGCATATGGTTAACCTTTCCGAAAAAACGGAGAACGAATCTTCATTAGAAGTTGTCAATCATGAGAAGTTGATGTTTCTAGCCTTTTCGTTACTTCAAAAGCTTGGAGCTGACGAGCGACCAGAGGTATTCATCATAGAATAACTCCTCCATTTTGAAATCAGTGTCTGTTTAAAAGATACTTTGGCAATGCATCAATCTTCATTCGCATTTTTGCCTTTCCTTTACGACATCTGTTAATCTTTATACGTATCTTGTTCCAGGTCAGGAATTCTGCTGTTAGGACATTCTTTCAGATTTTGGGAAGTCATGGGAATAAACTTTCAAAAAGAATGTGGGAGAATTGTCTGTGGAACTATATCTTCCCTATGTTGGATCGTGCTTCACACAAGGTGGGGAAAAAGTTATTCAATGTATGCGTAATTATAGGAAACTCTTGTGACTGAGATTCTTCTTCTGTAGGCTGCTACATCATCAAAGGACGAATGGCAGGGGAAAGAAATTGGTACTCGTGGAGGGAAAGCAGTCCACATGCTTATACATCATAGGTGAAAAGGAATTGCTGAAGAGTGTAACTCTTTTGCATTTTCTCTCATCTCTTGATACTTGAACTATTTCAAAAGTTCTTTTTAGTTCCCCATTTTTTTCCAACATTTGACATGGTATTCCACTTCCTGTTTTGCAGTCGAAATACAGCCCAAAAGCAGTGGGATGAAACATTTGTGCTTGTCCTTGGCGGAATAGCTCGTATCTTCCGA